CTGACTTTGGAGGTGCACTGCAAAAAATACACATATGTTATGAAGGTACGTAATATTAGGCAGTAAGGAAGCACGAGAAATGATATCACAATAAGCCAGCTCCATTACGAATAAGCCTTACTCATTGCTATTTGAATATTGTTTACACATCATTTATTTTTCCCAGTGTCACCTTGGTCTGAGCTCGAGCTCAGGATCGGAGACTGTGCCGCGGGAGTCAGTGGCAAAGCAGCTGGCCAAGCAGAGGCGGGTCTGCCCCATCTTTGGCCATTCAGGGAGTTTGCACAATTGAGCACTTGAACGTTCGTCCACGAGAAGGGGCGTTGTTTGTAAAAGGGATTCCTGGTAGAACTCGGAACGAGTGGGCTGGTCAAGGCAAACACAGCAGTTAAGAGGTTGCGATAATTCAGGCAGGTGCTGGTGCGTGTTTGGGAGCAATCTGAAGACGGATCGCGAAAAGGAAGCCAGGAGGGTTATCACATTTGAAGCTAATACTAAGTATTTCAATAGTGCATCCTTAAGTGATGTGAGATTAATCAGCGCAGGAAACAGTTGATCCCCCTTAAGCGCCAACCATGAGTGCCATGCCATTCTATCATCAGGCCATTTAACGCGATAAGAAAATATGTTAAAGGATTCTTAATTACTTTCAAGTGGCAGAGGTAACCCAAGCCAGGCACACTTGTTGTCGGCACACACACTTACATGTATGTAAAATCGTTTAAGGAGATTGCAACCATTACAGACCGGCACTTTAATGAGCTAGAGCCACACACTCGGTAATCGAGGGAGTTTGGGCCCTAGAAGAGACGGCAAAAGGTAACTTATCGAGTAAACAATTACCATTTACAGACTAATTGCGATGCTTATCCATGTGCAGCAGCTGAAGGAGATAGTAGCAGGGCTTGCGATACGCATCCCATAATCAATATAAGCCTCAAATTGTCATCGAGAGTTTACATGCCCTCTCTACACTTCAAGTCCCCAGGCCGGAATTCCCCAATCGAAATCAACAATTTATTCATTTAATGCCGGGCATTCGCTGCTCATTTGCCATGATTATTTGCATAAACTGGCCCCCAGACCATCCATTTGATAAATATTCAATTAGGCATAGGCCGAGTGCAATTCGAATTGTGGAAATATAATTTTTATAATTTTCCAGTAAACTGAATTTCGGCATTTTACGCATTACACATTGCACAAATGCAGCAGAGATTGAAATTACAAATTAATCGACTGGGATTTGCAATGCAAAAATGGTTGCATTTGTAATCTCAACAGTGGTTTCATTCCACAACATTCATACTCCCACCAATGGGTATTTTTTGTGGCGCCACCTGGACTTCAGCACTTCAAAGGGCCCGATTTTTCAGAAGACGCTAATTATGTTCCAGCTATGAGGGCTTTGTTGCAACTTCCCGTCGTTAATTTGGCAGAATCTGAACGTTTTATTGGCCATCTAAAAGCAATTAAAGGCCATAAAGGGAGTCTTCAATAAAATTATGTATGTGGCCAACACATGCCACTCCGTTGGCTGGTTGCTTGTTGCATCTTTAAGACGGCGCCAAGTTCTTTGATTTCTAACACCTTTTCCCTCTTTGTTGCTTAGAATAAGAAGGCGCCGCCTTCTGTTGTGAAGTGTGAACATTTGGTGTGAACTTGTAAGAAAACATTTGTTAGCAATGTGATTCCAAGCTGCAAATGCCATCGTTTTTTGGGAAGGAAGAACGAGTTTCGGATCGCAAGTGTTGATTGCTATGCGAATTGATTTGTGAATAAGACTGATAACTTTTGTAACACTAAAGCAGTAAATTGTTACAGAAAGCATGTAAAACTGTTACATCTGCTTTATGAGGGAACAATGATATATATATCCTGCCTATTAACTTACAAGTGCATTCACTTCGCCTCAAGTTTCAATTTCAATTTTCATTTTCATAACCCAAAGAGCAATCATAACGCTATGAAACGAATACCATTGCTGCACATATCTGCTCCGATATACGATTTAACGATTCAAGTTCATGAGCAGTCCTAACGATTCCTCTGTCTAATCAAGTAACATGACCAAAAACTGCAGGGAGATATTTGGTTGGAGAAACCCTTCAAACAAAAGAAACATTTCTTATGCATGCAAGTACTCCGAGTGATTACACATTTTATGTGCACTCACTTCAGACGATGCTTTACGAGACCCCGGACACTGCTTTTGCATACAAATGGTGAATCGGTTGTAAGTATCTATATCTTCGTACATTTATAGTGCGGCGCAGTCGAGAACATTTTTAATGACACTTGTCGAGGAATTCGTTCGCCTCAAATCAAAAACACAATTTGTGCATTTTTCCCTAAATGACTTCTCCGCTGGGTCACATCTTTATTGGATAATGTATTTATATTTGGTATATGTGGATATATAATTTTAATTTCTTTTCATAGGAAAACTGCCCATTAAAGTCGAAAGTGGGGGCTATAAAATGGCGAGATCAGGCCCGAGACCCTTGTTGTGGCCAAAAGGTGTGAATTTTCCGGGCATTTCACCCAGCTCAAGGAGCAAAGGAAGACGAATACGAAAATTGTAATAAAAACTTCCCGACATTAAATGTTTCACTCCATCTATGGCACTTTATGAGTTGGCAATTTGATTTGTATCATCGGAGGTTTTTTATGGGAATTTCTTTCTAAGAGGAAATCCCTTCCCTTTCGCCCCGTTTTCCTCATATACCCTTCAAGCGATGCCAAATATTAGCCGCTGCCTCTTGAGCGATTTCACGAAACGAATTGTAATCATCGCATTGCATCTAAACAGACGCAAGACGTAGGATCTTCAGCTGCGGTTACTTCAAAGTCCTCATAGAGATCCACGGATCGCAGGGCTCTTGCCTCCCGGCATGTGGCAAACAGATGAGAACCTCCAGATGAACCTTCACTTGAACCTGCACAGCCTAATGAAGCCATTAGCAGCGCCTTATCGCAGAGCTCAAGGATCCTCGAAACGAAACAAGTCGGAGCACAAAAGGTCCGTCTAAGTATTGTCTCTGCCTTTACTCGACTGCACCCTGCCCTTTGTTGCGGGGCAACTAATACGCCTAAATTAGATCGAGATCGGGATCGGGATCGAGGTGCTCGGGTGCCTGTGCGGCAGCTGTTGTGCATGTCCAGGTTGCTCCTCCTTCGAATCGCCTGTAGGTGTATCCTGACTCTTGCGGCCAGCCATTAACTTCACTTTCGATGACTTAATTTCTACTTTAGTTTTGGCAAACACACACCAACACAAGCCGTGCTGAATAGCACCTGATGCAGTTGCCTCATTGCAAATTATCGCTTGGAAGATGCCAATTTCAAAGGTCCTAATATGCCAGAGGAACTGTGTGACTTATTTTGTTTCTCCAGCTATGCATAGGTACTCAAAAAGGTTGATTTCACTTACTTTCTGTTATGAAAACGGTTTCTAAATTTAATTTGAGTGTTTATACATTTGTAGGATTGCATGATTCTAAAAAATGTAGTCGTGATTTAGCGTGATGATCCTATGTAGTTATGGGTTCCTTATGCTTTTCTAACCGCAGACATAAATTACATGGAAAATATTTGCCGCTCTACAAATATTGCGGCACTTAAGCACAAATGCTGCCACCCACCGGCCTCCCCTTCTTCGTCGTGCAACACCAATGTCGCAACACTTTCCAGACAATTGCAGTAGCGAGTGCAACAGCGTCGCAAAGTTGCAGCCCCGCGCCTCCCGCATGTTTTATTACTTCCGCGCACTTTCGCTTCGGCAGAATGTGGCATATACTCGTAGTACAGTGTGTGTGTGGGAAAGTTCTCAGTGCGTTTAGCAGTTGGTTAGCGGAGTACCAGAGGAGGAGGAGCAGGAGCATGAGGAGTTCCAGGCGCGGTTCTACATATAGGAATAGGAAGTCAGCTTCCTTCATCCTCCGTTGTCTCTGGCGTTGTTGCCACATTTTGGCGGTGGCTGCGAATGGTTTCCTGGCGGAAATACGTTGCCACAAGTGTGTAAGTGCACTGCAAGAAATGAACCTGGAATTAATGTGTTATTATACCAGTTTAAAAGGCCCAATTAACATATGGCTATGTTTCATGTTGTTGGTACTAAAACTATTATTTAAAGCTTAGGCAACTCTTTCAAAGGACACATTTATATGGTTATTTGTTAAATACATATTTCACTTTGCAGTTTTACACAAAAGTTTGTCACAGTTTTTAATGTGCTTAATGTGCTAACAAGTTAACTTTATTTAAATTTATAAGAAAATCCTTCGAAAAACTTTAAGACGAGTGAATGGGCAATGCGCTGTGTGTGCGTGGACACATGTGGCGCTCAAAAAGAAACAAGAAACTTACGGCTGAGGATGCGGAATCCTTGCCAGGATACATCGCCCAGACCCTGGCAACTGTTCACTTTCACTGTCTCCCCAGCTCCCCCGTCATTTCCTCCCCGCCTGCTGGCTTTTTCATATTTTTTCACATATTTCCTTTTCGCCATTAAAGTTTTACCGCGGCATCTGTCACCGGAGCGCAGCTTTAAAGCCTGCTAAATTTTAATTGCCTCGCGAATTTTCGGAAGGATCCAGAAGGAACGGCGCGGTACATTTGCAAGAAGTGGAGCAACTGAAACTCCATTTTGTAACTCACATTTTTTGCGTTATTGTTTGTCGCTTTTTTGCCGACGTCTCGTTTTTACGCCCAGTTGCAGGTTTGTGGCCTCGTTTTGGCCGCAGCTTCTCAGCCATATATCAGGAATTAATTAGCGAAATGCATTCCCCTAGGGACATCAAAGGGGAAAATTCCTTTTTGGCCCACAGATCGGGAAAAGTGTTCGAGTACCCAGCGTTTTACTGTGGCTCAGAATGGAGGCACTTGCATTGAACATGATGCAAGTGTAGAACAGGCGATTGAATCTGAAAATACGTACTTATTTTGCGGAAGGCAATTTATTATTTTATTACACTTGTAAGTCAGTGCCAGGCAAGTGGTTACTGGTGGTAGTTGACCACAGCGCGGATCCAGTCGACATAGCTCAGCACATCCGTGAAAGAGCTGGCCATCAGGCATTGTCTGTTCGTGAAGCTAGCGATTCCAACTTGGATGAAGCGTTTCGTTTTTCCGAATAAAATCAAAGCGCCCACCGGACCGCCGGAATCGCCGTTGCACAGATTTCTATACTCGTTCCCAGCGCAAAACTGCTTGCTCGTCAGGGTTAGTTGGGCATACAGCTCGCACACCTCCGGTCTTTGACGAACCAAGTCGACGGTCCTGAGTTTGCCACTGTCATTCTCCTTCTCCGTCTTGCCCCATCCAGTGCCAGTCAGTGGGTTCAAGGCGTCGATGTGCCTCCTCCACTTGGTATCTGTTACAATGCAGATGGGCCTCAAGCTGTCTGTGCAGGATTAGGGGATTGGGATGGTTCAGTGTATTCTCCTGGTCCACGTAATACCAACCTGTGTACTGCACTCTCTTCTGCAGACGGAGAATGGCTATATCGTGGATCATCGACACATTATTGTACAGTCGGTGCTTGAAGGCAGTCTCCACATACGCTTCTATTCGATAGGTGCAGTAACTACCGTGGCACATATCATTCGCCTCCCTATCATACTCTCCTAGCCGAGCAACGCTACAGGGTAACATAATGTTCCATGAACCATGTTTTGAATAATTAATTAGTTTAAACCTACAGCTCTGTATCATCGAGGAAGCAATGCGCGGCGGTCAGCACATGTCCTGCAAATAGTATAACAATTACAAACTGCTGCTCGAATAGGTATCCTTATCTACGGTTTGTGATCAGAGTTCCGCCACATATGAATCTGTTGTCAGTAGAGTGGATAAAAGCCATCCAGGGACTCGAAGTTAGGCCGGCGATCTTTGCATACTGGGCCCGCCAAGTTAAGGGATTAGGAGCTCGAATCCCGCAGGCCATATCAAGAAATTGAGCCGATCCCAGAAGCGGGAGTAGAAGAAACGTAAACCCTACCAGAACGGAACTCATTTTGCTACTGATTTCACTCTTTTGCATTAAGAGCCACATCAGGTCGGGCTTATCAGGCTTCGATTATGGGGAGTTTGTTATTCGCTGAAACCACATGCGAGTGTAAACTTAATGGGAAGCTGGAAAATTTATTATAAGAAAATTCTCAGAAATCGCTCTAAAGAAAACAGAGGGTTTTTAAGCCATTAGCAACCATTACTACATATATCGCAACATATAAATCGGAACAGGCTGGATCGGACTACCATATCATAACGCTAACATAGCAATAATTGAAAAACAATTTTAAAAGAACTTTTTACGCTCAGTTGCAGGTTTGTGGCATCGTTTTGGCCACAGCTCCCCAACCAAATATCAATAGGTAACTAATGAGTTTCCTGAATTTTACTTTTCTCCAAGATTTTGCATGATGAAAATACGTGGCACCGATTTTAAAATTCCCCGAGAAGAGAACTAGTTCTAGGGAAACTAAGAGCAATGGTGTTCCATATTACTTCTAATGAAGGTTCTGGAAAACAATTTATTATCTGAATCATTTTCCAGGAAAGCTGGAAATCCCCTGAAACTCGCGGATTCAGCGTTCATAAAGATAGCGGTTCCAATTTGCTATAAAAGTACGAAGTACGAGTATCTTCTACCAAGTGAAACCAACATGTGAACTCCACTTTTCCCGCAGAGCGATTCATTCATTCATGGGGCAGTAAAGTGCTTCCCTGCACCATAGTCTCAACTTGATTATCCGCTTCATCGTAATCCCTACTAGGGATATGGGGAAATTGCATATTCATTGGAACGGCGTTTATTTGTAGGAAAAATATATGAGCCTTTCCAGGAATCAAGATTAAGTTTCACTTATCGGAAAATGAATTTACCAATGAAGCTCATTTGTTTCCGAGTTCTTTTAAAAGCCAAGGAAAGGACAGAGAGAACTGCAACGCCTAAAATATCAAATCTGCTAGTTGCCTTGATTTAGTTTTTAATTTGACTTGAGATGACCTCTCATAAAATACTTATGCAGTAATTATGTGCCAAACCTATTCACAACCGAACTAATCCATCCGGAGTAGGTGCTCAGATCTGTATAGATGCTCGGAGCCCGGCAGGCAAAATCCCCGAAACTTGCTACCCCGTATTGGACGAACCGAAGATCCCCGTAGTAGTTCACCCAGCCCGCAAGTGGTCCGCCCGAGTCGCCATTGCAAGTGTTGGTCTCCTTGTCACCGGCACAGATGTGGCCTTGTATAATCGGGACATTATACAGCTTGCTGCATACACTCCTGTTCATCACTGTGATGAAGGCTTGCTGGAGGGTTTAGGCAGGAAGTTTGTTATCCATAAGTCCCCAGCCGGTGGCCGTGAGCGACATGCCGTCCTCCAGCAAGAGTCTGATCTCCGGCTCTAGGATAATGCAGATCGGCCTGATGTGGTCTTGCAATGAAATGGATCGTGTTTTTTATTTTGGCGCTGTGTAGGAGTCGTAAGCTACCTTCAAAGTTCACGCTTCTCGCAAGCTTAAGTAGGGCGATGTCGTTTAGCATGATCGAGGGATTGTAGTGCTTATGGCTTATGATGAAGCTAACAGGGTAGTCCTCGGGTTGGGATTGGCACCTTAATGTGGCACTGGGCGTAATCTCACTTCCTCCCAAACGAACCGTGCTGCAAGCGGAACATTTCAGTTCCCATTTGAGGAATCATTCTAGCGCGATTTACTCACATCTTCGGAACCGCACCAATGCAATGCGCAGCCGTCAGGACGAATTCTATAGCAAGGATTATTAGTACTGTGCTGAAGAGGATGTCCAGCATACGAACGATGATTTATGAGTGTGCCAGCGCAGAAATATCGATTGTCGTCATGCAGATAGGCCATCCAGGGAAAGGAAGTGATATCAGCATCACTGCCTCCGATGATTCTTATTTGGTAAGCGGATTGCGTCCACATTCCGCAATTCGGCTCCAGAAGTGCAGCTTCTCCCAAGTGGCAAGTCCACTGGCACACGGAGATTGCGAGGAGAACGGCGGCTGATTTCATCGCGACTCAAAGAAATAAAATGGACTGGGCTCTGGGCTAATCGTGCGACTTTATTAATACGTACAACTAAGAGAGGGTTATCAACGGAGTGAAGTCACTTATGTACTTGCGCACTCAGCTTGTTGTAAAAGATTCCTCGCCACTATTTTTGCTAACTTGCGAAGTCTGTCCCTTTCCTCTTAGCCCGTGTTCGTCGACAGGTGAGTTGCCTTAATTAGATTTGAGGCAAATTAAAGGTGCCTTTGCCGCTTTAACCCGTTTTCACCCATCACAGCCGTTCATGGCCACGCCCACGTGGCTGTTGACAGGAGGCGATGACGATGACGATGACGATGATGTCCTCGCTTTCAGCCAGGTGCAAGGATTAAGGGGAAGCGGTGGACGACACTATCGCCATTTTGTTGTCAGCTGCTTTTGGCAGGCGACATCGGCGGAAATGCTGCTGGGAAAGGACGAAGGCGGCTACAAAATGCATGCCAAATTAAACAGTAAATGCATCAGGCCAAAGGAGCCCTCCTCCGGCCAAAAACCAAAAAAGTTGAGGGAGCGAAAAGCAAAAAACATTCGACCAACCAACCGAACCGAACCAAGCTAACAAACAAACGAACAAACAAACAAACAAACAAACATGCGAACGCAGTGTGAAATTTTAATGCACAAAATTGCATGTGTGTTCGTGGCCATTGTTGTTGCTGCTGGCGTTTCCCTTCAGCCGACAGCCAACCAACAAACAGCAACAACACAAATTACTGGCCACGTCAACACACGGAGAAAAAAAGTTACAACTGTGGCTGTCAGTCTGCGGCAACAGCGAAATCAGCTTCAGGCCATGCAAAACACACCAGCAACGAAATAAAGCGGAAAACAAAGAAGCAGAACTTTATATACCCTTCCTTGGCAGGGGCGATCATGTAGCAGAAGGAACAAATAAGCTGAAATCGATATATAAATGTATAAATTGTTATATAACTTATACATTGAGTTTTAATGCTGTGCAACTTATGAGATACCAAGGCCCAAATCTAAATACCCGCAAAAGGGAATGTGAAACATGGCAACTGCAATTCATTGGCCATGAAGTTTTCCACCTGTCGACAAAGCGCTGATGGCTCCCGCTCCTCGGGAGCAATAAAGTCGGACAAGCTGAGGTCCAAGCGGAGTGGATGCAGCTTTCAGTGCTGCAGTTGCAATTCCCAGACGCTGATTGTTGCCATTTGCCGGCGATCGGAGACCGATAAGTGGGAGAGAGACGAGCGCAGCCCACCAGAAAGAGACGGGGCATCGAAGCTGCCCCAAAGTTCAGCGAAGCGTGGCCATCAACAATGACTGGGGACCCTTCTAGTTGGTTTATTGCATCCATTTAGCGCATTCCCAAGAAAAAGTCGCTGCGAGTGTGTGACTGGCCCTTTTCACAATCGCCGAAGGACGGTTGTTTAGCAGTTTAGGCCGTTTTATGGGCCCGCCACACGCCATCTTGGCCGAAGTACGGGATGGATTTCTACTTCTGCCGCCATTGCCATTGCAGTCATTGGGGCGTTGAGCAAAAACATGGAAATGGCATGCTGAAGTCAATCAGCCAAACAAAACATGGCCAAAACTGACGAAAGAACTTCAAACTCTCTGGGAATTATATGGTTTTGAGTGAAATAAATTGGCCTAACTATTTCATTAGTTCGGGCGCCTTCCAATCATAGCACGTTCTAGGCAAGCCAGTGCACAAAGATTAAAAAATACATGGGTAAACGTTTGCTTCTTCAAATTGGCTTGGATGTATGATTTATGTACATTTGAAAATTTGCTAAAACCCATGGGCAGTCGTTTGTTTTTAATGCACTCACCTCTGCCAGAATTGCCCACTTCTTTGTGCACAGTTTGTTTTCCAGAATGGAGGAAAACTCATGCATGCCGCAACCTGATTATAAACATTATGGACTACGGTTCGGGCCATTTCCTGCTCGAAATGCTGGGAGATTTCTGAAATTCCTCTGGAGGAATGGTGCTGGCGAGGCTTTATGCCGAGAGGTGTTCGACTTGTTTGCTCTGCAGGTCGATGCATTTTAATGATGTGCCTGGGCCCCGCAAATATAATTTCGTTTTTGCATTTCTGCAACTTTTGCAAACTGCAGTCTGCTGACTGCAAATTGATTGCCGGCCAACAAAAGGGCAGAAACTGCAGCGGAGTACTCACGCAACGCATGGCAACAATTGCAGCCGGTTTAATGAGCTCAAAAATGCGCGCAACAATGAAGAGCTGGCCGAGCTCCAAGCCAAGGCCAATTCCCAGTCCCAAATGGCCAACCCCACGCGGCATGCCGCATCGCCCAGCTAGGCATCCCCGCCCCCTTTTCGCCCACTTAAGCCACTGCACTCGTGTAATTAAATGCAATTTTATTGCCGCGATCGGCGGGCCGTACAAAAAATAGGTGGAGGGCTGACCATAAACGCAAAAGTGTTGAAAGCGCTGCTAAGGGCGCTGCGAACTTGATTTATGCGGCACAATGGAGTTCGGCTAACGTGGCTAACACAGCGCTGCCTGGCGGACAATGGCAGCAACTTCCGTGGGCCAAGAAAACAATGAGCGGAGTAATTAATTTCAAAGTAAACAATTTATCAACTGCGTTCCACTGGCGGCTTGCAGCAGGCCAGATCACTTCTCGGGAAAATCTTCCGCCGATAAATCCACTAGGTATGTTTAACATTCAAGTTCCAGAAGTGCTCTATAGAAGAATGATCAAATTAATGCCATTGGGTGCAGAAAAGCGCACGTAACTACAACGCTGCTCAACATACGTCACAAAAGTGCGTTCAAAAAGATAGTATTCAAGAATCTAAGTTGTCACGCTCCCACAGTTTCCTTAAAAGCGCACTTGGAAAACTTTTCGAATTAAGCATCACTTTGCCGCGCGCTTCGCTGACCAACACTTACTTACTTACTTATAATCGAATTGGGCAAATAAATCCAAGCCGGAAAAGCACCCAAAGCCATCAGCATTATCTACTCTAATTAAGATTGCCGAAAAACTCGGTTTGCCAAGCACTCTTCTTTGGGGCAACCAGAAGTGCATTTCGGGCCACAGCTACGTGCTCATCAGCATAATCAAGTGGGCGTGGGTGGCTGGAAGTAAGAAGTGGAAGCAGAACTTAACTGCAATTTGAAAGAGATTACAATTATTTGATTGCACTTGAGGGCAGCGAGCAGAGCGAACTTGGCCGAGGCCAAAAGCATTTTGCAAGCCATCAATTTTGAATGCCAAATGTGAAATGCCGGCGATAAAGCTTATTGCTTATCGCGATTGAGGAACAATACTTGGGATACGCCGGCCGAATGGAATGAATCACAGCTCGAGGAGCGAATTGGCCCGAGTTGAGTCATACGGGTGCAATGAATGGATCCGTTTGTCTCTCGCCGATCACAAACCGATGGAAAGTCTCAGGGCCCTGACAGTCGTTCATAAATTAAGACATCCCACAATAAATAAGCCAAACAGTGAACAGCGAATCCCTGGGAGATGCACACGTGTCTGCGGTCGCGGGAAGCTCTTCAAAGAGTTTGTCAAGCGGCAAAAGTCTGCGGCTAATTATGCGATGCAGGAGATGGGGATGCCCCTCCTTCCTGCTCCCGGCCCACTCCCACTCCCACTTCCCGCATGAAGATCTCGCCTCAGACAGCAACTGCACTTGCATTCGCACAAAAGACGGAAAAGAAATGCCAAAAGCCGAATGACATGTGAAAATATGCAAATATCAAGAGTGAATGAATGGGTCTGGGACCGGTCTGGCCCGCTCTACTTCTGCTGGTCTGGTCTGGTCTGGTCTGGGCCTGATGAAGTATAGAGTATGTGGTTCGGTCCTCCGGCTCGGTTCAGTTCAGTTCAGTGCAGTTCCGTGGGCTCACTCATTAAGTATAATGGACCCGGTCGCAAGACGAGACCCAGCGTCGTCACCATGCACTTTAATTATGATGTCGAAACTCGCATTAATTGCCACAGAAACGGCGAGTTCCCACTGCAGGTCCAGTACGTACGCCTGCACTCAGAAAATAAGTGTGCTAGAAGCAGACTTATTTCGCCAGGCCCCAAGAATCAGCCGCTATGTAGTTGTGATCAGGCTTTGATTTTAACTATAACTAGAGGGTTTTCCCAAGCAGTTCTGGCTTAGTTTCTGAATGAGCATCAGCCTACATCCTTGGCTCGTTTTTGGCTCAGTGTACTTCTGCACTTTAAGGAGCACAGTGGCGGAAAAAGTTGCCTAGTTCCCGCCGCACTTCTGACAGCAGTTTATATAATTTTGACAAGCGTTTAAATGCCTGCCAGACGACCGTCGACAGTTGTCAACTGATATTGTGGGCTGTGCACTGCGACTTGATTTCGCATTCAGATTACGTTGTTGCTAATAAGTGGGGGAATATGGTAGGCCAATGTCGCCATCCCGGTTTTGATGTTTTCATGTGCCTTAATGCATTCGGACAGCACGCGATTTAAATTGCCCCGCCATGACACTTAATTATTTGCAAATGCGAGAATGAGAATCCCTTCAAAGCTGCTGCCATGGGGTTAAGTGGGGGAAATGTCGAAATGTCGAGGAAATGGGGAAAGATGATACGGCGGCGAAGCTCAAAGGAATCCTGCGGTAAGGCGAAAACTAAGGGGTGACTCCTCAAATGTGATTTAAGGCATAAGTTCTTAAAGATTCACATCAAGTATACGTATTTGTATATAGTAAGTTATTGTGCTCAAACGCACTTACCATCCCAAACTAGTAGGCGGATAATTGGTAATTGCAATGGAATGGAAACGAGTTGCCAATCACAGCGCCATCTGCTGGTCAGGACAGATTTGATTTATGTATGCTAGGGCTTTTATTAAAATTTCACTTCCCACACCGCTTAGCAACTGATTAGCAGCCGAAAGGAAGCCAGACGTGCGTGATGCCAAACAAAGGAGCCACAAACACAGTGATGGAGCCGGGACTAACGGGGATCCTGGATGAAGGACGATAAG